ATTGTTTGCGAGCCACGTGCTATTGTCCTTTGTATTATTGTGCATCTAGCGAAACAAAACGCGTGAGAGCATCGTTTCTGTGACGAGGAGGCCAAAAAGGCGACCAGGTTATCGTCTGACCCGCGATTTTTCCCCTCGTCGTGGATCACTTTAATTAATTACGCGAGTTACACGATCGAGTATCTCGTTTAACGCTAAGACGCATCCGTCGACGTAAAGAGGATGGCGTACTACGAAACTTCATGCAGATTACCGGGCTTTGTCTAGATATCGCTTCATAAATCAGTTATGTTAGGTCAGCGAAGTGGAACGTTGATGCAGTTGTGGAGTGAAGAGATTCATTTTTATGAATTATTGTTGAATTGTGATATGAAATGTAATGGCTTTTTTTATGAATATTTAAAATGATACGCAGAAATCTTGAGTTAGATAAGATTAGTCATTCCTTCAGTAATGTACATATAATAATAAGTTATTTTATTCTATATACTTTTATAATATATTGCATATTAAAATTTTTGTATTGTATATTATAAGTATATTTCTACATATTTCTTCATAAATTTGTAATATAAATTAATAAAATATTGTAAAACAATTCAAATTCTGAAATGCGGAACCGTAGAATTGTATGAATTGTAGAATGTAGAAATGTCTGAAACAAGACATGTAATTTACACTTTCCTATTACTAAATTAATAGATAGATCATGAAATATTAACAATTTAAGTTGAATAAGTTGTTAAATATATGACATTTTCACAAAAATAATAATCTTAGTACATTAATTCAGCAAGAAAACCTCTACATTTTCTTGTTTCATATCATTTTGACCTTGTCAAAAATTTCAAATAGATTTTGCAAGTGAATATAGGTTTTTGGTCAAATCAAGGCGATAAACAAGAAACTGTGGAGACTTCACTGTTGAATACTTCACAATCAACATGTACCCTAGTGACTTTTGAACAAGACCGTAGCTTTCCCATACAATACGATTATTTCGTGCTGCACTAAATGGAATCATGTCACACGATAGCATAAAATTATCCATAGTTGAGATTCCCTATTAACAGACAGAATAAGAAAATCGTGTTGTACAAGGGTTATCTGTAATTATTATATAACCAGATCCGCACGAGAGTCGTCCAACAGCTAAGCTCATTAGCGAGGCTTAAACACAGAGGCATTCAGCATTAGAAAGCTAGGTCGTTGCTACTGGACTTCCACCTCGTTTAAACATCCAATACTCGTGACAATTTTCCAGTAGCAATTACTATACAAATTTTCCACAATACCACAAACAGGCTGAAAAACCTACAGAAGATTAATAACAATAACATCGAGGAATCCTGATCATTCCATACCTCTCGAGTCACCACAACTGTAATTAACCAATGAAATTCCCACCTCGACTAATCAAATCAACATTTTCCATTTCCACTTGAAACACGACCGACAATTGTCATTCTAACGTAATTTATGAATCTGCAATTTCCAAGAAATCGTTCAGCTCGTTCATCGTTAATCCTTGCAAGTCAGGGAAAGAAAAATTCCACGGCTCACTAGTCCGCCAACAATGATACACGGTAAATCAGATCTAGTGTTTTTCCAACTGGAATCCAATCGATAATTGCTCCGTTCCATTGTGTTCACTCATCTGTTTATGCGCAATTAGCTCGCGCGTTGAACAGGATTTAATTATTATAATAGTTCGAGCGGACAGTTCCGCGAAAAATCCGTCGGATCGTGGCTTCCGTGCTACTTTTCCATTGGACTCGACGTCGGATCATGTGAAATTTCGCATCCCCTTCCTGCTGGAACGACAGCATGGCTATCTGCAAATCAGGAAATCGTTTGTCGGCGGAATCAGCTTAATGAGCTTGCGTAACGTCGTTCATGGAAAGACGGATGAATCGGTTATCGATCGACCGAGAAAATTTTTACGATCGTCCGTGGATTTGTATCCTTGTGTTTAATGAACGTCGAAGGACGGTTCTCGAATTTCGTCGAACGGCTAAACCTAGCCTTTATAGGTCACTTTAATGGGATAATAGTTACATTTCGCTTTGTTTCTTGCGATCTGTGTCAGTGGATATACACTACCGCTCAAAAGTATCCGGACACTTGATAGTGTCATGCACTGTCGACTTTGGAATTTTCTTCCTTAAAGCGATTTCTCGAATTGAATATCCTTGTTCCGCAAGAGTAAGGATACTAGCACGTTTTTCTAATGATAATTCTCGTTTCGAATTCATAACTGAACATAGGAAGAGCAACAGACGAACTAAAGCAAAGCGGGTGACTGCATAGCGTCAGCTCCGTTCTCATCCCTATCAACACCTAATAGGTATCGGAGAACTCTCTGAAATCGGTCTGTACCATAGAAATGAAATAAACTAAATCTTCAGACCTTCTCAAACAACGAAATCGTTCCATTAGGTTTCGTCTTTATAAAACAGGAATTATATTATTGCATTTTTATTATGTAATTTGTACATGAAAATAAATTTTAGTGTGCTACGATACTTTAGTATACGTAATAATAACAATTACAAAAGAATTGTAGAGAATAAGGAAGTGTCCGGATACTTTTGAGCGGTAGTGTATGTATATTGACAGGATGAGGCTACATTTAGATGATTCTTCTATATACACTACCGGCCAAAAATTTACACAAAAATTTCCAGAAAAAAGTCAGCGACTTTGAGAATTTTTGATCGTTCGAATCAATTGATACGAGATAAATTGATAAAAGTAGAATTGAGATAAA